ATTGGAGTGTTCACAGTAATGCAGCCAGAGGATGTTGAGGACATAGTATTTTGTTTAAAATTAGACTCTGTGAAAAGTTTAGCTAGAGGTCATTTGTGTGATACTGTGGGCAAAATTCTTTCATAATATGCTTATGCACTGAGATACAGAATAGGGAAAAATTTAGAAATAAATGTATTCATTCACATTTCTCATTTAATTATATATTCAATGTACATCTCATTTGATATTCCCTCTTTATTCTGCCTTACACACTCCCTCATCTCTAACTCCTCTTCATCTCCCCAGGGAGGGAAGGGACCACCTCAATATTCCCCAATCATGGTATGTCAAGTCTCTACAAGGCTAGGCACATCCTTTCCCACTGAGATCAAAGAAGACAACCAAGTTGGGGGAACAGTTTGCACAGATAGGCAACAACTTAAAAAACATCCCTTGCTCCACCATGTGTTGGGGGACCCATGTGAAGACTGAATAGTACATGTACTACATATGTGTTAGGGACCTAGGTCCAGCCTATGTATGCTCTTTGGTTGGAGGCTCAGTCTCTCAGAGTCTTCTATGGTCCAGGATAGTTGATCCTGATGGTCTTCTTGTGGACTTCCTGTCTCTTCTGGGGCCCTCAATCCATTCCCCAACTCTTCCAAAAGACTCCCTGAGCCCTGTCTAAAGTTAGACTGTGGGTCTATGCATCTGTTTCAGTCAGGTGCTGGATGGAGACTGTCAGAGAACAATTAGGCTAACTTCCTATCTGCAGGTATAACAAAGTATCCTCAGTAATGTCAAGGAGTAATGCTTGCCCATGGGATAGGTCTCAAGTTGGGCAGGGTATCATTTGGCCATTCCGTCAGTCTCTGTTCCATCTTTGTGCCTGCATGTCTTGTAGACAGGACCAGTTTTGTATAGAAAGGTTTTTGGTTCGATTGGTGTCCTTAACTCTCTGCTGGGAGTCCTAGCTGTCTGTAGGATGTGGCCTCTTTAGGGTCCATATCTCACTGTTATGAATTTCAGGTAAGATCAACTCCACAGACTCCTTGGTGCCCTCCCATTCATGGTCCCTGCCACATCCTCTAGGATGCCCCCTCCCCACAGCCAGCTGTAGATTTCAATTCATTTTCCCCCTCTGGCCTTCACTTGTCTCTCACCACACCCATTCCTGATTCTCCACCTATTCCCCTTTCTTATCTCCTCTCACATCCAGTTCTCCCTCTTCCATCTACCTCATATGATTGTTTTATTCCCCCTTCTGAGTGAGATCTACCATGCTCATTTGGACCTTGCTTCTTGTTTAGCTTCTTTGGGTCTATGGAGTGTAGTGTGGATATCCTGTACTTCATGGTTAATAATCACTTGAAAATGAGTCCATACATGCATGTCCATTTGAGTCTGGGTTACCTCATTCAGGATGATAGTTTCTCATTCTATCAATTTGCCTTCAAAATTCATCATGTCATGCTTTTTAATAGCTGAATATTATTCCGTATTATAAATGAACCACATATTCTGTGTCCATATTTCAATTGAGGGGCATCTGCATTCTTTCCAGTTTCTAGCTGTTATAAATAAAATGCCTATGAACTTACTGGAGCACATGCCCTTGTGGGTGTATGTCTGAGAAGGTATCCTAAGTGTAACACTTTCTCCTGCTAAGTCTTAAATTAATAGAAGGAGTAAGCAAAGTGTTTCCTACTCCCAGGAAGGAACTTTAAATAAAGCCAGCTGCAACTCTGGTTAAAGCAAGGCAGGGCCCATCAACTTAGAAGGCAAACTTGACAGAATTACCCATATTGTGCTGCTTCTGGAAACTGAAAGTTGAAAAGTTCAAGATCATGGAGTCTTCCTTTATGGTTTCAGTTTATCACAATTCCAGCCAACTTTTGGCACAGTCAAAGCCACAATGGAGATTCTGTGAAAGTTCATTGCATTGAATTTGTTGAGGGTGATGCCTGGGTTGCATTTTGCAGCTACAATTTGTTGAGATACCTAAGGCATGGAGAAATATGCCATGGAGAGATACATCTAGTGAGAGGAAATATCCAAACTAAGGAATGTATGAATAGTTACAGGAAAAGAGCCCTTTAAGCCTTTAGAATCTGAAGTCCAATTTGAGAAAAACCTATAAGTTTTTGCCCTTCTGTGTTTCTTGCCTTGGTCCAATCTTCTCTCCCCATGTGCACATTTCTATCTATTGGAATGAGAAGGAGTATTCTGTGCCATTGTATGTTGACAAGATATAACTTGCTTTCTGATTTTATAAGATGTGGTTTTCAAGATATTGCCTTGAGTGTCAGAAGAGATTTTAGACATTTGAACAATTTATGTGTTCCTACAGATTATTAAGATCACTTTATAGTGGATATATTTACCTCACAGGATGGACATCAGCCTCCAGTTTCCAGGGTCAGAATGTAGTTGATTGAAACAAAAAGCTTGTAGATAGGCTGGTGGTTTTGAACACTTGTCTGTCATGTCTGACTTTCTTTGTGAAGCTTGTGAAACCTCTTGTGGGAGGAGCCTTTCCAGATTTCTTTTGGAGGATAGGATAATGTATCTATACTTAAAAATGTTTCTTTCTTTCTTATTTTCTTTTTATTATTTTGGAAATAATTCATATATCTATTATAAACCTGATCACTCTCCCTACTGTAAGTCCTGTGCCCTCATAGTCCCTCCTACCAATCTCTTTTGTTTCTCTTTGAGAGGGTGTGGGTCTCATGGGTACCCCACCTGATGGTGCATCTAACAACTCTTAGGTTAAGTGCATCTTCTCCCGCTGAGGCCAGACATGGCAGCCCTGTTAAGAGAACACATTCCAAAGATAGGCAGCAGCTTTAGGGAGAGGCTCCGGCTACAATAGTATTGGACGGTCAAGAAGAATGAGCTGCATATCTCCTACATATGTGTTGGGGGCTTTTGTCCAGTCTGTGTATGCTATTTCGTTTGTGGCTTGGTCACTGAATGTCTCCAAGAGTCCTGATTAGTTGAGTCTCTTGTTCTTCCTGTGTAGTTCCTATCCTCTTGAGGACCTTCAATCCTTTCTCCAACTCTTCCATAACAGTCCCCAAGGTCCATTCACTCTTTGACTGTGGTTCTCTGCATCTGTTTCAGTCAGCTGCTGGGTAGAGCCTCACAGTGGACAATTATGCAAGGCTCCTGTGTGGGAGCATAGCAGAGTATGCTTAATAATGTCATGGATTAGAACTTGCCAGTAAGGTGGGTCTCTAGTTGGGCAAGTTTTCATTGACCATTCCCTCATTCTCTGCTGCAGCATCACCCCTGCATCTCTTTTAGACAGGACAAATTTTGTTCTGTGTGTCTACGGTGTTGTGGTTGAATTTGATCCTTCAGCTTTCTTCTCATGATCTCATACATTCACCATTTGGTCTCACTCCCTAAATCACATGAGATACAGTATAAACATTTTCTATTCTATGTTAATCTATTTTGCATGTCTGTTGGTTTTATATTTTTAACTTTATTCTTTTTGTTTTTCTTTTTCAAGACAAAATTTCTCTATGAAGCCCTTCACATCCTGATAGTAGATATAGACTCCACACAAGCCACCTGACATGTTATTGTAAAAAAAGTACATGCTTCTGTGTTGTTCTTCATCCACATCTTTAATTTTGAAATTCGTCCAAATATATAGGTTATATTCTATTTCTAAAGATGGTATATGCTCATGTTATCAATACTACCTGAGGCTTCAGAGCCATTGGATTCTAGGTGTATGAAGTTCTGCCTTACTCTTCTAATTTCTTCTAAAATTTTTGGACAAATAGGAGTATTTTTCCTGTGTCGATGTATATGAGTATCATATGTGTCTCATCTTTAGTTTTGTCAGAATGTGGCCTCAGAACTCTTGATCTTCATGTTATGCGTAGTTGTAAGCCCCCATGTAGATGTTAGAAATTGACCACCATTATGTGGAAGACCAGCCAGAGCTTTCTACTTCAGAGTTATCTCATTCTCCTGCCCTATGTTGCTTATTATGATCAACATTTATATTACTAAAATTTTCATCTGTCCATTTGTATCTGTTTAAACAAGCATTCCCTTTTGGTAAAATTTTATTAATGTTTCCTTTTAAACTGGTATACTTTATGTTTCTATAAGATGAATACAGAACTACGTTGCATGTATTATTCATTTTAAGAACTTCAGTAAAGAACTGTGAGTTCTCTCTATCATTTCTGTTTCCTTGGTTGATTTTTACAGGAGCATTAATGTCTTAATATGTAACTTTTGCTGTCCTGGATCTTGTTGCATTTGCCGTGCTGGCATCAAACTCAATGACACACCTGCCTGTGCCTCTGGGATTAAAGACATGAGCAAAAACACCGAGGTTATCCATCATTTATGTAGTTACTAATTGTTTATACAATTTCCTTAATGTGTGCTCAGAGCTGTTGGTCTGTTTCCCTCTACATCCCTCTCTCAATTGGCATTTTTCTTGTAAAGCTATATCCTATTCAGTGGGTTCAGTAGCAATACACACATACAATCCTCATAGTATTAATTCCTTCTAAAATGATATAGTGATTAGATTATAATTTCTGTGTCAAGAAATAAATGGAGGTAGCACATGAAATATATAATTATATTGTCTAGGAAGCATACATTTATTTACAGTGATGTTGGTATCATGCTTTATGTTATACATATATTTTAGGATGCAGTGACTTTTGATGATGTATATATCAACTTCACTGGAGAAGAGTGGAATTTACTGGATCCTTCCCAGAAGAATCTCTACTAAGATGTGATGCTGGAGACCTACTGGAACCTCACTGATATATGTAAGACTGTGAATTTTCTTTTGCTTTTCAAAATAAGGAGACAAATATTTCTTGGTTATTGATGATACTCTGTTATTTCAATTGAAAACGAGAAAGATTGAGCAGAGTAAATCATGATTAGTGCTGTGAAAATTCACAGTATCTTGAATTTTGCCGAATTTTTAACAGTATATCATTAAATTTTCTGGTACTGTGTTTTAGGATACAATTGGGAAGACCACCATTTTGAAAAAGAATTTCAACATTCTAAAAGGTACAAAAGGTAATCTTAATATGCAAACTAATGCAAATATGCCTCTGAGGAAATTTTAATATGTCCTGAAAAATCTAAACAAAAGGAAATATGTAAAATATCAGTCCTTTAAGTATAGCTATGATTACAATATTCTCACAAAGCCATGTGCCTCAATGTCACTTATCTGATTTGTGTTTGCAAGGCATTTCTCTAAGGAAGAAGACATAGAAACAATGCTTTAAGAGATACCTTTATTTGATTTGTAGCTCCATTAGAGCTATGCTGTGGAACTACCAATCTGAATAGTCTCATAATATTTAGATGTTGCACATTGAATAGTGATAAATATATATATCAAAAGCTATCCAATAAGTAAATAGTCCATGGCAAATTTGGTGATACTCATATTCTTGTAGTGACATTGCTAAGTTTATTGAGAGATCAGTTTATGAGAGTCAAGAATGTCATCATGGAGAAATCTCAATCCATATACAGTATGTCTACACGAAACGAAAAGTCAAATGGTGTTAATTCAATGTGGAAATCTGTCATTTCTTCATCTTTTTATGGGTATATCAAGTATCATAATGAAAAAAATAATGCAAGCATATGAATATTTAAGGGAGCAATCTACATCTCTCTATTCCAGAACAGTGAGAAGATATGTAGTATTCTGCCTTTGGTAGACTTTCTGAATATGATAGAAGTTTTCAATTAATTGGTTTTCTGACTTTACTGGGAACATCCTCAAAATCACACTGCAGAAAATCCCTGTGGGTACTAGAAATTTGTAAATTTTTCTGTTTTTTTCTGGTTGACAGTGCTAATGTGGTATGATTCACACTATGGGAAATTTATGAATATAATCAGTGTTGTAAAGATCTGCATTTTTCCATTTTCCTCCTGATACATGAAATACAATATATAGAAATCACATATAGAAAAAGGATGTTATAACTGTGAGCCATGTAATAAATATTCTTATCATCACAGGTATTTTCAAAGAGGCAAATCAAGCCATAGTGGTGAGAACACCATGAACATACAAAATGATAAAATCATAAGATATGATTCTCCTCTATTATTAAACCAAACTGTAAATTTAATTCATATTGATTAAATGATTGATCAGGATGATGAATGTGGTAAAGTTTTCACTAGTACCAATATCATGGCAGGTGTGTAAGAAGTCACAGCGGAGAGAAACCATATGAATATAATCAGTGTGGTAAAGCCTTTGCAAAACCCAGATATCTCAAATATCATAAAAGAATACATACTGGAGAAAAACCTTATGAATATAATCAATGCGGTAAAGCGTATTTATATCAAAATGCTCTCCAAAATCATAAAAGAACACATTCTATAGAGAAAACTGATGAATGTAATCAATGTGGTAGAGCCTTTGCAAGTCACAGTAATTTCCAAAGCCATAAAAAAACACATACTGGAGAGAAACCCTATGAATGTAATCAATGTGGTAAAGCCTTTTCACATCAGAGTACTCTCCACTATCATAAAAGAAGACATACTGGAGAGAAACCATATGAATGTAATCAATGTGGTAAGGCTTTTGTATGTCAGAGTAGTCTCCAATGCCATAAAAGAACACATACTGGAGAGAAACCTTATGAATATAATCTGTGTTGTAAAGCTTGTTCCCTTCAGGATCATCTCCAAAGACATAAAACAATACATACTGGAGAGAAACCTTATCAATGTAATCAATGTAGTAAAGCCTTTGCAAGACTCTATCATCTCCAAAGTCATAAAAGAACACATAGTGGAGAGAAAACCCATGAATGTAATCAATGTAATAAAGCCTTTGCAAGATCCTATAATCTAAAAAATCATAAAAGAACATATACTGGAGAGAAACCTTATGAATGTATTCAATGTGGTAAAGCATTTTCAAAACAGAGTACTCTACAATATCATAAAAGAACACATACTGGAGGTAAACCTTAGGAATATAATTAATGTGGTAAAGCCTATTAACAAGGGATACATCTCCAAAACAGTAAAAGACTACATACTGAACGGTAACCTTATTAATGTAATCAATGTGACAAAAGCCTTTTTACAAAGTTATTTTCTGCAAAACCATAAAAGACCCATTTTGGAGAGAAACTATGAATGTAATTGTACTGACTGGTTTTGTGTGTCAACTTGACACCAGCTAGCTTCACAGAGAAATGGCTTTCATTTGAGGAAATGCCTCCATGAGATTCAGGTGTATGGCATTTTCTCAGTTAGTGATAAGCGGGTAGGACCCATTATGGTTGGAAAAATTCCTGGGATGGCAATCTTGAGTTCTATAAGACAGCAGGCAGAGCAAGCCAAGTGAAGCAAGCCAGTAAATAACATCCTTCCATGGCCTCTACATCAGCTCCTGCTTTCTGACCTGCTTAGTTCCAGTCCTGACTTCCTTTGGAGAGGAACAGCAACATGGAAGTATAAGCTCAATAAACCCTTTCCTCCCCAAATTCCTTCTAGTTTATGGTGTTTTGTACAGGAATAGAAACCCTGATTAAGACAGTAATTAATGTGCTAAAGCCTTTGCATGTTCCACTACTCTCCAAAACATAAACGATCCTATACTGGAAAGAAACCTCATGAATGTAATCAATGAGTTAAAGACTTTTCACAACCTTGTAGTCTCTATTATTATAAAAGAACACATACCAGAGAGAAACTTTATGAATGTAATCAGTGGGGTAAAACATTTGCAAGTCACAGTCATCTGCAGTCATATAAAAGATCCTTACAGGAGATAAACCAAATGAATGCTATCAATGTAGTAAAGCCTTTGCATGTCATGGTTTATTTTGTCTTTACACAAAATAAATCACACTGGAAAAAACTCTATTAATGTAATCAATGTGGCAAACCTTGTCAATTCGCTGTCATTTACAACTACATAATAAAACAGAGACAAGAGAGTAACCCTATGAAGATAATCAGTGTACTAAGCCCTTGAGAGTTACAGTTATTCTTGAATACATAAAACAAAATGTACTGTAAAGAAACTGCATGAATGTCGTGAATGAGGTAAAGCCTTTCCAGGACAGTCATCTCAGAATACACAAAAGAAAATGTCCAGGAGAGAAACCTTATGAATTTAATCAATGTGATAAAGCCTTTGCATATCACAGTAGTCTCCAAATACATGAAGGATCACATACTTTCCTATGAGGAATGACTGTGAGTATAATGAATGGGGTAAAGCCTTTGCATGTCACTGTGCTCACTAAATACTTAAGGAACACACACTTTAAAGAAATTTTATGAATGAAATGAACATGGAAAAGCCTGGGCATATCACTGTGGTTTCCAAAGACATGAAAGAACACATATTGGCCAGAAACCTTGTGAATGTACTCAAGTTGAAAAATCCTTTACATGCCACAGTAATCTCTGAATACAAAAATGAACACATACTAGAGAGAAACCTTCTGAAAGTAATCAATGTGCTAAAGCCTTTGCATGTCCTAATCATATTTAAATACATGAAAGAATTCATCGTAGAAATAACCTGCAGTGATTTCAATATGCTTGGACCTAAGAAGTGACACTATTAGGATATTTGGCCATGTTGGAGTAGATATTACTGTCTTGAAGGAAGTGAATTCCTATGGTGGAGGTCTTGGGAGCATCTGCCAGAACAAAATAGACCCTCCTACTCTTTGGCTGGAAGACCATCTCTTCCTGGCTGCCTTCTCATGAAGATACAGAACTCTTGAGCTCCATCTCCAGCATCATGGGTGCCTGCATGTTGCCATTGTTCCTACTGTGATGGTAATTGACTAAAGATTTGAAACTGTAAGCCAGGCCCAATGAAATACTTGCCTCTAAAACAGTTGACTTGTTCACAGTGTCACTTCTTGGCAATGAAAATTCTATCTAAGACAGAAATTGGTACCCCAGACAGAAGTATTTCTATCAGAAGCTTGACCATGTTTTTGTTTGAATCAATGTGGATTTTTAGACTTTGGATTGATACATGCATTAAGTGGAACTTAATGGTCCATTCTAGTAGGAAAATAGAACACATATGTACTAAGAGTGATTTGAACTTTATATGTAGGTTTTATGATGTTTTGCTGAAGAATGTTGCTGCCTTTTTCCCTTCTCTGAAGAGAGTCCTTGTGTCTAAAGTAAGGAGGTTTATGTTGACTGCATTGACAAATAAAGCATACCGGTTGGCCTGTGTTTGCTCTCATGGTGAGTGTTTTGGTCAAACATAGTAATCTTAGAAAGGAAAAATATAAAATGTTAGATTCAAAGAGACAAGGCTCACCAGGAAGTTGAATGAAGCTAAATCCTGTGTTCAAAGATATCTGATGGTATTAAAGAAATGGTAATGATATGGCAAGATTCCATCTACCTAAACATATGGATGTAAAGTTGTATGAAGAAGAACTGTATCATGATAGGCATTATTATTACCTGATTATTGCTTCCATGTGGACATAAGGAGATACAAGTATGTGTCAAATTGACAAAGGATGGATTTTCATTCTATTTTGGGTTTTCTTTTTCTTTTTTTTTTTTTTTTAATAATTTACTTATTTGTTTCATATGAGTACACTGTCGCTGTCTACAGACACACCAGAAGAGGGCATCAGATCTAATTATTGATGGTCGTAAGCCATCATGTGGTTGCTGGGGATTGAACTTAGGACCTCTGGAAGAGCAGTCAGTGCTTTTAACCACTGAGTCATCTCTCCAGGCCCTTGGGTTTTCAATTTAAGATATAAAAGTGAATACTTAGGCTCAGGCATGGTGGTACATACCCTAAGTCCCAGGAGATGAAAGTCAAGCAGATTTCTGGTTCAAGTCATCCTGGCCCAGAACTAGATTTAGGTAAAGAAAAGCTTAGGTACAGGCAAAGTACACACATCTATTATACCAGCATTGAGGAGACAGAACCATACATAGCTCTGACTTCAAGGTTAAACTACTGAGTAAGTTCCAGTTTAACCAAGCTTAGGCAGTGAAGTTGTTGAAAATTAGAAAGCTGGTGATAATGTAATAGAAGGGGCCATGTTCCAGCCCCAGCAAGCAGCAGAACTCAGCAGCTTTGTCCATATGGCTCTGGCTTTAGAGGCAAGACTAGAAGGGACTACTGACACAGTTGATACTGGTTAGCTATATTAAAAATTTAGTGGTGATCAATAAGAAACCAGCATCATTGAGGAGAAATCTTTTGGGAAGTGTTTTCTAAGATGACAATGAAGCTCTGTTTCAGAGATAGCCAAGACTGTACCTTGTGGTACTGCTGGTCTTGGTCATGTGTAACTATCACTAACATAGCACAGGTTTTAAGGCATGAATGTGTCATGAAGAACAGCTAAAGCTTGGCACCATGAAGGAGAGGAAAGTAGTGAAGCCTAGTTGCTGCAGAAGAACCCAGTATATTGAATATGTCAGTGCCATGGGATGAGTAGAAAGTCCAGCAGCACCAGTATAGTGGTGTCAACCAGAAGCTAGAATAGAACTATAGAACTATATAGTCAAACAACTATAGAGGGAAGAGCTAGAGAAATGACCCAATTTCTTTTGAGATGCACAGAAGATCATGTTTGGATCCCAGATAATGGAACATGAAGCTGTAATACTAAAGTTACCTCTGAGACCACAAGATTTTGAGGTGCCACAGCTGTGGCTTACCTGCTCAGGAAAATTGTTTTTAGAGAATAAAACCAGCCAAAGAGAAAAAGTTTTGCTGCAGCGAGGAAAGCAGAATGGACTCAGGGTTCTGAAGAATGTACTGACATCAGACATGGAGGTGCAGATTTTGGAGATTGCCCTGCTGGCTTTTGGCCTTCTGTTGGCAAAGTATTTCCTCACAATGGCATTTAGAAATGATGAAGTATATTTCCTGTGAATTTGGATGTATATGATGTGCTATTTGTTTGAAAAATATAGGGGACTACAGTTACATGATTAGATGAATCTCAGGAGGGACTTTGAACTTTTGACTGTTAACATTTTTGAGACTGTTATAGATGATGGAGACTTTTTAACTGAACCTCATGTATTTTGCCTCATGCTATTTTAAAATATGGTTCCCATACACTCATATGTTTCAACAAGCATTTGAGGGCCAGGAAGTGGAATGTGGTAGTTTAAATATACTTGGCTCAGCCGGGCGGTGGTGGCGCACGCCTTTAATCCCAGCACTCGGGAGGCAGAGGCAGGCGGATTTCTGAGTTCGAGGCCAGCCTGGTCTACAGAGTGAGTTCCAGGACAGCCCGGGCTATACAGAGAAACCCTGTCTTGAAAAACAAAAAACAAAAAACAAAAATAAATAAATAAATAAATAAATAAATAAATAAATATACTTGGCTCACGGACTGGCACTATTATGAGGTGTGGCCTTGTTGGAGGAAGTGCATCACTGTGGTGGTGGGCTTTGAAGTTCTGCCCAGTGCTGAATGGATCCTCCTAGTAGCTCCCTGATGACAGTCTCTTTCTGGCTGCCTGTAGATCAAGATTCAGAGATCTCATTTTCTTCTCCAGCATCATGTCTTCTTGTATGCCTGCCATGCCTTTTCCTATGATGAAAATGGACTAAATCTTTGAAACTATAAGCCATCCCCAATTAAATTGTAGCTTTTATAGGAGTTGCCTTGTTAATGAAGT